TACCCGGTTGACTAGGAACCCGTGAGTCTCTAAAGCCTGCAACGTAGTTTTCAAGTCATGTACTGCCTGATCTTGGGAGACCAACTGAATAAGGATATCATCCAAGTAGGCCAATATCCGTATTGGGACAGTTCTGAGGTGAGCTGTCAAGGCAGCCAGGATCTTGGTAAAGGTCCTGGGAGCCGACCCCAAGCCAAACGGGAGGGCTCTATATTGAAGGTGCCTGTCCGCGTAGCAAAACCTCAGGTACTGACGATGGTCAGATAGGATGGGAATATGCAAGTACGCCTCAGTGAGGTCTATTGATGTTAAATAGTCCTCATTTCTCATGCTCTTCAAAATGGATTGAAGCGTGTGCATCTTGAACCTGCAATACATAATGAAAGAATTTAGTCTTTTGAAGTTCAGAGTAGCCCTCCAGCCCCCCCAAAGCTTTTGGAACCACAAACAGCATCGAATAGAAGCCGTGTCCCTGCTGCTCCTCCGGAACCACTTTCATGGCTTGAATTATCAGGTGGTGTTGAATCGCCTCCTCCATCAGTTTTCGTCTGGAGTTGTTTGTCGACAAAGGGCAGCAGATAAAAAACCTTGGGGGACTGAATCGGAATTCTAGGGCAAGTCCCAACCTCGTTGTTTGTCTAACCCATGTATCAGAGATCATTTGCTCCCATTGGTCTGCGAGAAAATAGAGTCTGCCGCCAACAGGAGTCACAGAGTGAGGTTCATTTGCATTTGCGAAAGGGCCTGTTGGTAGGCCCTCGAAATGGCCATTTGCCCTGTGGTTGAGATCTTGCCTTGTAACAGCCACCTTGTGAAGTCTGGGTGTCTTGTCGCTGACCAAAGCTCCCTTGATTCCGCTGTGCAATTGTCCTGTAGTATGGGGCACGAAAGAAATGACGAACAAAGGGTAGGAACCTGGTTTCTCCCTTCCTTGAAACCGACTGCAGGATCTTGTGTTTGTCCCTGGACTCAACTAGAACAGGATCTAATGGGGCACCAAAAAGTTTGCCACCTTTATACAGTGCTGACACCAACTTCCACTTTCGTTTGGTGTATTGCCTGCCAATATCTGAGCCACAGCAAACAGCGAGCTGCTACTGCTGATGACAATGCACGGGTTGCAAACTTCACAGAGTTCAGTGTTGCATCTGCCATGGACTCAGCCGCTGCAATTACCTGGTTGAAATCCTGTTGTGTTCTAATGTTGCTGGTAGGTACCTGCCCCTGCATTTGACGTAGCCAGATTAAAGATGCCCTGGTAAAGAAGGATGCCGCTGTGGCGGTCTGAACTGCCCATGCCGCTGCCTGGTGCATCTTTCACCAAACTAAGTCCTCCTTCTTATCCTCACCCTTGAGGACATCGTCTGCATTGTTAAGTGTGGCTGAAGAGGAGGCGAGTGCTAGGACGGGGTCATCTACCTCCGGATGATGTAGAGCTTTTGCAAGCAGTGTGTCCATGTTGTAGAAATGCTTGTCGAAGGCAGTAGCCCCTGAACAAGATCCTGGTAAATCTAACTGCCTTTAGACCATATTGAAAAATATCTTGTATGAGGGAATTACTTCAGCCTCCTCCTTTGGGTCTGTGAATAATGCTTCATTACCTTCAGCCTTATTTGTAGGGATCGGGAGCTTTGTGTTAAGATCTAGCCCAGTCGTACTCTTGGCCTTGGGTAACAATGGCTTAAATAAATGGAGTCTAAAAAGCCCTTTGAACCCAGATTTTTTGGGTTCAGTTTCCTCCTCCGACAGTTCCTATATCTCAGGGTTTGCCAACCTTTTGGACCTCAGGGACCACCAAAATCATAATTTTAAATCCCGGGGACCACTAATATGAATTTTGACTGATGGTGGCTTGCTGACATTGGTGGGAGAGAGAGAGAGAGAGAAAGAGATCTGATCTAACCTCTGTCTCTTTCTCTGTCTCTCTCTCTCACACACACACACAAACACAAACACACAGAGGCAGGGGTGATATTCAAATTTCTTAACAACTGGTTCTGTGGGCATGGCCTAATTTGTGGGTGTGGCTTGGTGGTCATGTGACTGGCTGGGCATGGCTTGTGTGTAAATATTATAAATATTTATGTAAATATTGATTGTTTTTATTTAAAAAAGAGCAACTTTTACCCAAAATCAGGTAAAGCAGGTAGGCAGACTGAGTTGCTCACAGAATCACAGATTAACTTAGAGATCTATGATTCTGCAATTGGCTGCCTGAGTCTGTCACATAAAATTTGCTTGCAAGCAAACTCATAAAATTTGCTAGCAAACTCACAAAATTAACTCACAACGCACCATGTATGCAAATATTGAATTTTTTATTTAAAAAAGAGCAACTTTTACCCAAAATCAGGCAAAGCAGACAGGCAGATTGAGTTGCTCACAGAATTACAGATTCACTGCAGTCGGCTACCTGTACTGAATAATAGAAGCTTCAGTCCTAAGGAAGGTTCGGCTCTGCAGAGCCGAAGATCTAAAGATTAGCTAGAAAGCAAGAAATGCAACGATTTCCTTCTTTTAGCTAACCTAAATCTCCTGGCACAACAGAACAGCTGATGGTCAGGAAAAAAAAAGGAAAAATAGCAACTTAGCAGGCAAGTTTGCCAGGTAAGGATTGAGTGGGTGGGGAGAATTCCGAGGGGCATGTGGGCAGCACAGTCTTGTGTTCCTGTGAGCCTGGATTAATTGCTTTGGGGGGTGCTCTGGGGGAGGTGACATTTCTCTGTGGACCACCAAAATTTTCTCGTGGACCACCAGTGGGCCGTGGCCTACCGGTTGGCGACTGTTGCTCTATCTCTCCTTCCTCAACAGAATAGTCAGATTGGTCCTCCTCTGGGGAGATCAAAAAATAAGGGTGGAACAACATAGAGTCAGTCCTTGGAGGCTGACTCTTCTGTTGACTGTGGTGTGTAATGGCTGGGATAGCACCTGACCGGATGGGATACCTTGCTGTGTTTCCCCCATCAGTCCCTGTCTAATTACCTCGGTAAACCATTGTTGCACCTCCATTGGCATTAATTGAGCCCCTATAGTTGGGAGGCGGAACGAGTCAGAGACTGGTTTGGGCACTATGCCACCAACCCCAGCTTGTTGGCACGTTGGGACAGGTGTAGGTGGAAAAACAGGTACCATTGGAGAGCAACCTGGCATCTCTGAAGTTTGAGGATTCCTAATCGATTGCCCCAAAGTCTCTGCAACTAAGACTTCCCACTAGGGGTCAACTGGACAACGTGTCTGATCCCCCCGGGCTCCATTATTCTCCATAGGAAGATTAAGATGTAGCAACTTCTCCTGCTCTTTCATGTAATTTTCCACTTGTCTTACCAAGGCTTTGTGGAGCCTACGTTCAGCCTTCTCATTTGCCTTAGATCTCCTGATTGCCCTGGCCTTGGCCCTAATTTTGCCTGCTGCCTCTTTAACTGAGCCCCCTGAATGAGAAAACGTTCCCTTGGATTTACAGGCCCGTTTTCCTCTTCCCTTATGCCAGATTTTGGGAACCTGAGAGGGAGAAAGAGTGGCGGAAGAATCATCCACTGTTTCTATACTGGATGCCTTTCACCACTCGTCTATCCACTTCTAGGGCTGTGCTCTCCCTTGAAAGCGGAGACCTAAACACTAAATCTTGCTATGAACTTATATAGATAGATTCTAATCACTTACAAATTGTGGGTGAAAGGCAAGGATGAGAGGACCTAACCTGCACTATCAATGAATCAGGCAACCTTGAATTGCCTTTAAAACAGCCAAACCAAAGGGAAAATATAAACAGTCCTGGCCGCTCTTCAAGCAGAAACAGTCTGCCTGACAGACAGACCACCAGCTGTTATGGAAAACCAGATGCCATTGAATGAAGGAGAAAGCCAAATGCTGCACACTATGGCTGAGTCTCCATTGAAACACAGCAGCAAGACAAACACAGGGCTGCTTCAAAAGTTCGTGGCCACCAGATTGCTGTTGCTGTTGTCACTGATTCAATTAAGCCTCAAAATGGCACTCCCGCCAAAACTGCTCTGAAGGCCGCTTGACAGACTGATGCGAATGTTGAATTCCCAGCCAGGCAGATAAACGGCAATAACTGGGCTATTTTAGTCCTCTTAGCCATGGATTGCATCAAATTAAAAACAAAATCTAAATTGTCCAGCTGTGGCTTCTGTCACTTCGAATCTTCTTCGCTTCAAAATGGCACTCCTGTCAAAATTAACCGCTCCTATGAAAGGGAGAGTGAAGCCAGGGAACTGTCACAGGAATCCGCTGCTCTGACTAGGCAACACTCCCTTCTTGGGCAGGCTGCCTATTAGGCAGGTCAGCACTAGACACCCCCAGTACCATTCTCTAGGCACTGGGTGCGCAATCATCGGAATTGTCAAAATCTGAAAACTGGGGCTCCCCTAGCCAGCTGACAGGTGCGAAGCTGGTTTCTTCACTTTGCAGCCGCTCCAAACACTTTTCTTTCTATTTTCTGTGCGAAGGAAACATGAAGGTAAACCAAACCCTCTTGTGTCTCTAGTCCTTTTAGGACTGTTGGTGGAATTTAAATCCAAAGAAATTTAGCCTGACAGCATCCCTCTATTTTTAAAAAACAGAGGAGCTATCAATAAAGCAGTCTAGGTAAGCCGAGACTGAATAGAAGAATTGGAGATAGTAGCCTGGAGGGGGGGTGTCTTCAGTTTTTCTATTCAGTCTATAGCCAAGCAGAGCTGAATATATCCCATGCCTGGATCCTGCCAACACCACTCTGGAGAAGAGTTAAACCATTACTTAACTCATGGGTTGTCTAGTCTTATAAAAAAATTATAATGAATCTGTAACCACAACTTCTGTGTTTTTGCTAAAATAGTGGTTAAAACAATCATAAATAATCATGTCAGCATAGCTATAGAACTGATGACATAAACAGTATTTATTTTTATCCTGAGTAGGAGAAACACCTTAAAAGTGTGAACATGAAAATTCAGTTATTTATTGTAATCTTTAATTCTGCACTAATTTTAGTTGATCACTTACAAGCTAACCTTCCGTGAATGGCTCTCTTTATTCCCATTGCTTTTTTGATCAACTGTGTTATTTGTGTTACGAGAAGAAGATGGTAAGGTGGAAGTAGAATTAAAAGCAGCAGTGCCACTGACATTGGTGGGGCGAGTTCGGAAGGAATCATCTGAAAGAAAATATATAAAATTTCAGAAAATCAGGTTATAATTAAACTAATTTGTTTTGGAGCTACAAATTTTGTTAGTTGTGTGAACTGATTATCAAGCAGGCATGCTGGCTTATATAATTTCTTGCATTTGGGGCAAAACTAAGAGCATTAAACTCTTAAAACGAAATGAAGCCACTAATAGAATTGTAACATTATTTTATTTGAGGAAAATGAGTAGTTAAGAAGTATGAAATATAAATAAATATATAAACAAACGAATGAATGAATGAAAAGTAACACAGCTTTCTTACCAGTAAATGAGAACATAGAATTCTTTGCTACTCCTGGCACAGAAGTATAGCCTACTGAAGAACTTTTGCTAAAGGAATAAAAAATATATAATGGAAATGTTACAATGTTTACTTATTATTATTGGGTTTTTTTTTATAATTTTTCATTTCATAACAATTTATAACGTTACACATCATGACAAAATGATAAGGAATAAAGTTAAAGCGGGAACAAATCTCAAGTTCACAATATAAATCAGAATCATAAGCAACCGGTGAGAAAGAAAATTTGCAACCTTCCACAAATAAGTCCCTGCCTTGCCTAGGAATTATTCAGGCATTTACTGGCAAGGGTAAACAAAATAATGCCTTAAATGATTAACAGAGTAGGACCATTGACCTATGCGGAAAAAAATATGTTTCAAACATCTGGCCCCTAAAATTTAGAATGCTTTAAATAATAGCCAACATGTTAAAGTGTGCCTTAACTTACAGAGAATTTTCTTCAAAGACATAGATGTGTGCACTACTTCAGTTCAGTCACAATCTAATTACATAGCAATAGTCCTCAACTTATCATCACAATTACACCTGGAATTTTGGTTATAAGTCGTGGTCATAACCTTTTTGCTTAACAATTGCAATCCTGGCTCTCCCAGTTGCAATCATAAATGACCACATGGACTGTTGAGCAGACGGGGTGAAAGACGTGCCTACCAAAAGTGGGCAGGGAGCTCCCTGCTGTGCATGAAAAAGAATGCCTGGCTTGTGTTTCTCCAGCTCAGTGCAAGAGTTCCCCTCCCTCAATCCAAGCTTCATTTCTGCAGTATTCTGCAGGCCAACCAAGGGATTTCCCTTCCCCCTATGAATGGAGGGAAGGGGGAAAATCCTTTGACAGTCAGCAGTATGATACAGCCTTTCCTATAAGTTTCCCCACTGATTTTTCTGGGAAGGCCAGTAGAGAAAGTTGTAAATAGTGATCACATGACAAACCACCACAGGAGTTCATCTCCCCTTCCTGCGTGGAAGCCAACCACTGTGCTGGGTTGGAGAAAGGAAGCTTAGATCTTCAGGATCCAAGCTTCTTTCTCTGGCCCAGCACGGTGGTTCTCCTTCCATCTGTGTGCAGGAAGGAAATGATCACTGGGCTGCAGTAAGGAAAACCAAAACGTCTTCCTTTTCGGGCCTGTTACAGGAATTCCCCTCCATGTGCTAGCTTTTCTGTCTTCAGAAACATCTGTTTGCTAGCTTTTTAAAAATATAGATACATTTAGCCCATTCAACTTTTTATCTACTTAATTTTTAAAGTACAGCACATCACTCAAAGAACAAATTTTTTCAGCCCTTCCTTCTCCAAAAGAACTGTACATTTGAACTGGCAAACCAAATGTTATGCTTCCATAATGAGCAGCTACAGTGCAGGTTGCATATTACAGTCATAAACCTAACAATAGAGGAAAAAATATTATATACCTGGGGCATTTGTCAATGTTGCCATATTTTGATTGCAGAGCTTGACTACTGAAAGACTGACTTCGAACCAATTTAGACTTTTTTACTTCTTTGCCTAAAAGAAAAAATTATAATGAATATAGCTCTTTCTGAGCAAATATATAACTGCAAATGCAATCCATAATCTGCCAATGAGTAATGCATGAATATCTTCTTCTTCTTTTTTGGAAACCATGGTTATGTTCCAAAAACCGTTATCCTCACTGAACATAAAGGTCCAGTTATTAATTTTATGGAATTCTGACAAGACATGTGATCTAATTTCACTGAATACAAGTTAATCATACAGGTTATCAGAATTAAGTCCCATTATTTACATTATTATACTATGCTATCTTTACCATATTGAGCTCCTGGAAAAAGGTGGATAATATATACATTCCATCACATATCCCCCTTTCATGGTAAACAAGCTTAAGAAAAAAATATACAAAGAATTCAAATAGTAAACAAAAGAAATTAAAGATAGAAAACAAGGAAAAAAGAAAAGTATTTGCAAAACCTGGAGCAAAAATGAGATCAGAACTACCTGAGGCGACCCCCCCCCCCCCAAAAAAAATACGTAGTTTGAAATCTAGTAGATTTCTAAGTAGTACATTAACCCATATACATACCGCCCCAATCATTTAATCTTTTTAGAGGCAAGCAGTATTATATAGAGTACAGAAAAAAAGTTCAAATCAGAAGGGGAAAAATGAAAGTATGAGACAAGAAAAAACTGTATCTAGTTCACACCAATATCCATAATTTTCAATAACTTCCTATCTTTGCAAATCATCCTTACAACCACCATTTTCTTATGCTGCCTTTTGTTCTTTAAACTTTTCAATTCTTTCTTTTTGAGGATCTCATCAACTCTTGCATAACAAAATATTCTTAGTCATCTCCTTTGTCTTGGTTCATTCAGTTTTCCCCCCACAGATTTGTTTACAATTCATCCCCATTTGTTCTCTCTGTATTATCAAAATACCTCAATTGTGTTTTTCATACTGGTCATTCACTTTTGTTATCAGCCCACATTTGTTCATTCCCCAGTAATTTTTGGCCATCTTTCTTCTTTTTTTACTATAACATGCTTCTTATGCAATATATTGGATTTATAAAAAATTGTGCGGAAGATATTTGTTTCTTACTTGCTGAAGCGCCTGAAGGGTTTCCAGAAACAGATATTGGGATAGTTTTGGCCAAAGTTGATGATGCTTTACTGTCTCTACCTAAAACAAAGGTTATTATATGCACTATATAAAGATCAACTACAAGAATAAAACTAATATTCCTACTATTTTAAATTAAGCACACTTCATCAAATATTACAAGCATTAAGTATCACTTGTATCATCAAGTGCCATATTTTGAACCTCACCAAAATGTAACAGATACTGCAGAAAAATAGGCCATCATTTTAATACAATGTTTAGTGCTTAAACTCTTTATCAGAACAATTAGCAATCAAGTATTTCAATTGAAGAGTTAATCCATAGAACTTGAAATAAGCTCAATATTGTTTGTTTCTACACTTAAGAGTGGCATGGTCAGCTTGCTGTTAGAGCAAAATTGGAAACAAATATTTTTTAATGCTGGCTTTAGGGCAATCATAATGCAATACAGAAGGAATTAGCCTCATATTTCTCTTTCTTCTACTTCTTGGAGTGATTTTTTTCAACTTTCTCCCATCATTAATGTGCCAGTGTACAAAAATAAAATATACTTAATACAAATAATGTAATGCTATATTTTCTTTTCTGTTGTAATTTTTTACTTATTTTTAAAGCACTGTTTTTATTATGTATTTTATGTTTCTTCTTCTTTTGCTCTATTATTTAAAAAGCAATAATAATATTATTTAAAAAGCAATAAAAGTTTATTTAAAAAGGCTTTTCCATAATAAAATTTGCTAACTGTGTCAATCCATTTCAAACAATATATAATAATATAATAAAAATGTTGACTCAATAGTGAACATTTTGGCCTGCAATGATTTTGTGTTGAAACTTTTCCTAGAAAATAAGGACTAAGTCTTTTCCATATTGTAAGTTTGCACTACCTACTTCAAATATGCTGAGGGTCAATCTAGAAAAGTACAGACTGCTATGATATGCTTTCATAGTAAGTTAGCAGCAATTATCCCTAGAGGGTTTTAATTAATACAATATCTACCACCTCCAGCTGACCACTTTTTGTTACCTATAAAAATAAATAAACAAGCCTTTGGAGAAAGAAAACAAACCAACAAAAATTACAACCACTTACGCTTCTTTTCATAAATTTTATCACTCATATTTGTAGACCTGTTCTCATTTTGCTGTTTCTCTTTTTCTAATTGTTCCTAGTAGGGAAACAGTGTAATAAAAGTGTTAATGGAAAAATGAAATCTTGATTAATAGGCTGCAGCTTTCATGCTAGCATGTTTTTATGATCTGCCTAGTTTCAAAAACTCCCTGAAATACTTTATGTTATCAATATTAAAATAATTGTTTGTTCAAAGTATATTTTGGTGCAGAAGCTGCCAACCTCCCCTAAAATTAAAGCCATCAATATATAAATAAGTTCTCCTGTGATGCTATCACACTTTTAGTTGCTTTTTCTCTGAAAAAGAAGACACAGCTGTAAAATTCTATGAGAGCACCCAGATTGGTTTCTCTGATTAGATGTTCTACTTGTGGAGACCAATAATTTCTCCAAAGTAACCTTGATTTGGACCTAAAAGGTCTCAATTTGATACACAGAATATATAGAGTTATTAAAATAGAGTCAACATAGAAGGGAGTGTAATTATACTCTGGAATTTCCTGGTTATTAAAATCATGCCTATTATGAACAAAGCAAGTCCTCCTATATAGCAAAATAAACTAATTTCACAAAGGATGAAGTTAAGAAATATATGAAGGCAAAAACTGGCATCTGAATCATCCAAACATTAAAGCAAAATATCATGGGATGAGATATTTTTTGGATACCACAGTAGACAGCAAAATGTTCAACGCCAGTTCTGACTATGAATTTATGTTGCTGTCAAGCAAGCCATTATAATTCCATTCATAACTTGAGAATAATGTTGACTACATTTTAGGATTACTGAGATGATGTAATGTGAAGTGCTATTAACACCTCATATCAGTTATTATTAGTATCAACTATTTGGTGATGTACTTCCTAATACATTTTCTCCTCACAGCAATCTGAAATCTATCTGTTTAAAGTAAGCTACATCCAAGATTCCATGTTTTTTTGCACCAATATTTCCCCACATCTACATGGATACATTTTCCCTCAAGTATCAGGTTAACATGTAAGAATTTTTAGAATATTTTTAATGCAAGTTCATAAAAAAATAATTGTAAACCTTAATTAGATTTCACTGGTACTTTGTATAATAGTCAAGTAACACCTTTTTCATGCAATAAACATACCATTTCCAAAAGAAGTTGTTCCTCTCTTTCTTTCTGCTGATCCAATAGGTCATTTTCATAAAACCTCTTCTGAAACTGTTCAAATGTGAAACCAGAAGATCAGCAATCATGCTAGAAGTTTCAGTATATTATTACTGCTATCATTTTAGTTTATACTTACAGCATCTAAAGAGGTATCCATTCTGTCAAGTTCTAGTACCATCTATTAAAAAAAATAGTATTATTATAGGTCTGCCATAACTGTTTTAAAAGAATCTCAAATGGCTTGGATTTCCTACTAGCAATTTTAGAAAGGACATGGGCTCAGCCAGAGGATAAGATATCAGGCTAGCTTGGGAACTGGGATGCCTACCTATTAGAAGCCTGTAACATTCTTTCAGCAGAAGTTTACTGATCATAATATAACAGCCTTATAATTATAGATGCACAAGTTTGAAATATATATGATCCAAAGGAAACCCCTTTACTGCTATCTCAGCTATAGCATGTTTATTATATCTATACGTTTCTATGCATTTATAGTAACACCATTATATTTGATTTATCTCAGGATGAACAGAATTAAAAAACTTTGCAACTCATACATTGGGTTCACATATCACACTAAACCAAGCTGTTACTTGGGTTCAATTGTTGCATTAAGCAAACCATGATTTTGTACAATGAAGTCTGATATCTTAAGAATTATTATAAAAATATAAGAAAAATACTGAATGAACAAAAGAACCTCACATACTTTTTTAACAATGTTCAAGACGTCTTTATCTTTTTCCTCACATAGCAGTTTTCTTACACTCATTTCTAGCTGCTGCAGTAAATGTTTGTCTGTGGGAACCTTGAGGGTTGACTTCACTTTTGGTAATAAATAACAAAGCTTCATTCTATATAGGGAAATAATGTTTATATATATATATTTAATTGAAGATTATACTAGGTTAAAAACAAACAGAAACATGCAAACTGTAAAGTGATAAATAATATTGAAGTAAATAAAATGTATGCTCTAAAGCCTCAAAAGAAGAATTAAAGCCCCAGTAAAAAATGATAATTGCTAAAATAGACAGGACTGATGATTAGGAATTATTCTTATTATCTGAAAGAGATCATTTGTTCATGTTGGCTTGATATTATCTATGGAACTGTGAAGAAGACTGTCCCAATTCTGTTATGTATAGAAATTTTTCATACTGTTGTCTGTTTCCTTCATGGACCTTTAGGCAAGGTTATACAAATCAGATTTTCATTTTTCTGCCATTTATTGTGCAGTATTTATATTTCTAAACATTTTAAAGAGTTTTTAAAAATTACTTTTATTTTAGATTTTTTTGTTCCACCTTTATTATTTTTATAAATAAGGGGGCAAACATATCTACTTCTTCCTTCTCATATTTTCTTCAAAACAACTCTGTGACATGAGTTGGGCTGAGAGTATGATTGCCTCAAAGTCACCCAGCTGGATTGAACCAGATGAAATAGGGACAGGCAGATTCCTTTAGGATCAAGACATTTTTCTTATTATAGAGGACAAATGTACTCTTATATCAAGTATGATTTTAACTGCCAAATAGAATGATCTTTTCCCCCAGTTATCAATCATTTTCAACACATGCTCCAAATATTTGGGTTTCTGCTTATAGACCTCCGCCTTAATGGAACAACCTATTTTATTTGATTCAGGATTAATTAACTTTTCTTGCTGCTCATGATAAACTCCAAATCTGTAACTCAAATCTGTTCATATTTCTTTAATTTGCTCTTCATCAATGTCCAGCTTTCATAGACAAATGTTACCATTAAGAAAAACACTGCTTTAACAATTTTGATTTTTGCTATCACAGAAATATCCTCACCCTGAATTTGTCTCCACCATCACCTTCCTGTAATTCTCCAGCACACCCTTTTCATTAACTTTTCTTTAGCTCAAGAAAAGAATTCTGTCTATCATCTTTGCTTCTTTACTGCCTGCCATGAATTCACTAACCATGGCATTTAACACTGCTTTGACTTCATGTTTTAAATTTTTTTTAAAAACAATTCAAAAAAATTTCCACACCACAAGCCAGGCAAACACCTGGACACAAACAGATCCCCCCTGAAACCTCCAGCTCAGATACACCCCAACCAGGCACCCAGATGAAACCTAGCTTCCTAATAAATGATAGCCATCCATTTACTCCAATTTACTCCATTTACGCCAAGCTCCACTAAAAGCCTCCAATACAGGAACACAATGTTGCCAGCTAATCAAGACACAAAAAACCACAAAACAGACAGAAGATATTAGAAACACCAATCAAGCAGAACAAGGCAAACTCCAAGACCAATAAACACAGACCAAGACTCCCAACCAATCAGGATTAAACTATTCTGGCACAGCAGTAGGCTAGCCCCAAATTTAAAACTGAAACGGCTGTGAAAGTCTGACTCACAGACGAACACAATACAGAAGCCTGATGATGGCAGATGAGATTCTGCCAAAACATTGCTACAACTTTAAAAGCACAACTATAATGACGTGAGAAAATACCTGAACAAAGCTGAATACTATATATATATAGTATAACCAGCCACATGAGCAAAGAGATCCAACAGACTATCATCCCAAGAGAAAAATCTTCCAGATGCCCCAAACTATACAGCCTCCCAAAAATACACAAAGAAGGCATACCTCTCAGACCCATAGTCAGCTCGAGGAGCACCACTACAAAACCTAGCTAAACACTTAGCAAAACACCTACAGCCCCATGCTGAAACAGCAGCTTCACATGTACAAAACTCATACCACTTCTTGGAAATGATCAAAGATCTACACGTGGAGCAAGAAGATCTGCTTGTAAGTTTCGACGTGGTTTCACTATTCACTCAAGTCCCGATAAAAGAAACCCTTGAAATTATCAAAAATAAATACCAACCAGCTAAACACCTCATGGAACTAACAGAACACTGCTTAACCAACACATATTTCATATACAAAGGACAAAGATACAAGCAAATTGAAGGAGCCCCTATGGGATCACCACTGTCACCTGTCATTGCAAACCTGTTCATGGAAGAATTCGAATCCAGAGCCCTGGCTAATGCCACCCACAAACCCAAACTATGGTTAAGATACATCGATGACACATTCGTGATTTGGCCCCATGCAAAAGAAAACCTAAACAATTTCCTAACACACCTAAACAGCACACACCCCAAAATCAAGTTCACCATGGAAACGGAAACAAACAAACAACTACCATTCCTAGATGTACTAATCTACAAAAAAACAGATGGCACACTAGGACACACCATATACCAGAAGAAAACACACACCAACCGCTACCTCAACGCCCAATCCCACCACCACCCAGCACAGATAAACTCCGTGGCCAAAACACTAATCACCAGAACCAAACGCCTGGTAGACAAGACACACATAAAGACTGAACTATGCACCCTGACTAAAGTACTGACAGCCAACGGCTTCCACAAAAGCAAAATCACCGGCTTGATCCACAAAAACACACTGAGACATAATGGAGACCTAGAAGATGAACAGACCTATGGAACAGCTGTCCTGCCCTACATAAGAGGTACTACAGACAAAATCAGTAAGATACTACACAGGCGTCACATCAAGACTGCCTTCAAAACAGACAGAAAAATAGCAGCCATCCTTAGAAACCCCAAAGATAAAATTGACCTGGAAAAGCAAGGCATATATGAAGTCCCCTGTGCATCATGCCCGGCCACATACATTGGACAGACCAAGAAGAATAAGTACACGCCTGGATGAACACAAAAATGCAGTAAAAAAGCTGGAACACACTTCCTCACTTCCTCACATGAAAGCCACAGGTCATAGCATCAACTTCAATGGCACCAAAACCCTAGCCACTATAGAAAACCCCAGCCACAGAATCATCAGAGAAGCCATAGAGATTGAAAAAAGAGCATGAACAAAAAAGCATGAACAGAAGAGATGATTCCACCAGACTGTCAATTATTTGGAAGCCTGCACTCACAAGCAAAAAAATCTCCACACCACAAGCCAGGCAAACACCTGGGCACAAACAGATCCCCCCTGATACCTCCAGCTCAAACACACCCCAACCAGGCACCCAGATGAAACCTAGCTTCCTAACAAATGATAGCCGTCCATTTACTCAGAGCCAAGCTGCACTAATGGCCTCCAATAAAGCAACACAATGTTGCCAGCCAATCAAGACACAAAAAGAGCCACAAAACAGACAGAAGATATTAGAAACACCAATCAAGCAGAACACAGCAAACTCCAAGACCAATAAACACAGACCAAGACTCCCAACCAATCAGGATGAAGACAAAACCATTCTGGCACAGCAGTAGGCTGCCCCAAATTTAAAACTGAAATGGCTGTGATAGTCTGACTCACAGACGAACACAATACAGAAGCCTGATGATGGCAGATGAGATTCTGCCAAAATGTTGCTACAACTTTAAAAGCACAACTACAATGACGTGGGAAAATACCCGAACAAAGCTGAATGCCATATATGTGGATCTTTGGTTATTCGGGTTTTCTCCCGCGTAAGATTGGAAGTATCTAGGCAACGTTTCGATGAAGTCTCATTCATCATCTTCAGGCTTGTGTCTTCGGCTCTGTGCTTCTCAGAGTGATGTGAGCTTGCAGCTGCTTCTTCCTTTTAACTGCTAGTGGGGGGTGTGACTTGATTGGGTGGGGGCTTGGCTGTGTTCTGATTGGGTGGGGGTGTGTTCTCATTGGTAGGGGTTTTGGCTGTGTTCTGATTGGTTGGGGGGTTGGCCGTGTTCTGATTGGCTGGAGGCGTGTTCTGTTCAGATGGGGGCTTGGTTGTGCTCAGGTTAGTCTTATTTGCTTGGGGATTTGAGCTGGTGAGCTGTGATCCTGCTGTTTGGCTTCGAGTTCGTGGTCGTGCCGCATCTTCATGTATAATACATATAAAATATATTATGTGTGTGTGTGTGTGTGTGTGTGTGTGTGTGTGTGTGTATAAATCTTCAGAGCTTTAATATATGAATTCTATTCCAGAAACCAGGGCAACCTGCATTAAATGGCAATACGAAGCAATATGATTAAATCAAAGTGTTTTATTAATTTAGTATAACTTATACAGTACCTCACATTTGCTACTGGATCATGTGTAAGTTCAAGCACAGGAAGAAAGAAGTATTCACAGAAAAATGATTTGGAAAAGAGGTCTATGATGAATTCACAGGTATCTAAAAAACGTAATCTATTCCAATAGCTTTTTCCTTGGCCCAGTTCTGGAGAGAAAAAAATACCACTGATAGGTTATTATTTTGATAGAAGAAATGAACAGAAATCCAGTGCTTAGCTATCCCAAAAATACTTGTTAATATTCTCAAATATAATGTAATGGTGTTTAACCAGCTCATCAGTATAATTATAAAAAATGCTTTAGGTAATTTTTATAATGCTCTAATTGTACAGCCTAGAAGCAGAAAAGTCCACCAGGAGTGATATAAGGATGGCTATCTCTTGATAGGGCACTACTACTGCAGCAGCTCCCCATATTAGCATTCCAACTGCTTTCTGCCCATGCTCTCTATCCTACAGAACACCTGTTAAACATTTATATTTAAATGTGACATTCATATTGGTGCTGCATCATATAAACTTTTTAAAGATTATTGTGAAGCACTTGAATATGAATTGTCATGGTAAACTTGCATACAAATATTTGAAGCTAATGCAGCTGAAATCTTTATTGTGGAAAACATCTATTCTATGGTAAAAATGGGGGCTTTCCTCTCTCATCCACAACAGCCTTCCCCTCTTATATGCAACAGCCCTGGTTTTCACTTAAATTCCACTAACTTCCTCATGATAAAGAGGACATCAAGACTTACGTTCAATCAATTTCTGGATGACCTCATATCTCTGTTCTTGCTTACGATTATATCGTAAGTATATACATAGTGTTCGAGCAGCTGCTCTTTGGACAGGTAAAACATTCTTGAAGAGAGAAAAAATACATTTCATTCTACAATATGTATAAGTAATAAAGAATTACAATTTGTTCATTGATGAGGAAATAATAGTTGAAAGTAAAAAGACAAAATAATAAAGCATCAATAAAATGTTGCAGAAATGAGGCTGAGATAAATTCAACTTAAGGGTAGTCTTCTTCAAAATTTGAAGCATGAACGTGTATTTTTTCAAAAGCGGCATGAAGCCAGACTATTAATTAACAATTTAACAGCTAGTCTAGTTTTTATTGAATATATTATCTTTTTGTGCTTGCTTTGTATCTTTCACCAGCAAACACATTCTAAGATCATTTAATTTTTCCTACAGGAAAATCATCCCAGGAAGGGGAAAAACAAGTATGTTTTTATTCTGCTAATGAAATCTAAACCAGGTAATGGGGTAGTGATGGAGGGAGCACATTAGGCATATGAAAAAGTCAGTATATTTTACTTGCTATTGAAATGGCATGATTTGTAGATAAGCAATTGTATGTGAGTTTGTGAATCTGGAATATGCAGCAAGCAGTAAAATGAGATGTATATGTTTTATATCTTGATTTGGCTTCTTTTAAATCAGCATATTTAGATACAAATTTGAAAAGGGTTTTTTTTTGGCTTTGTTTTGCTACCCTAGACAATTATTAGAGTTTAGATGATATTCTACAAACATGGAGCAGTCAGCATTTTTATATTTAATTTTGAAAAATCAATTGGATTATTTGGTAGTTAAAAATAAACATGTTTAAGCTCAATAAGAAACATCTATTAAGTTTCAGGGCAGAAATTCGCTTGCTTTCTTATAATTTATTTAACTGGATTTATACACCATGGCAAGCAGAATTGACTGTCAGTGCATATTTCCCCTCTGTAATTTAGGATAAAAATGAAGCTAAAATCATACAAAATATAATCAATAAAATTGCATATATATAATCATGGGAATAAAATGCAATTGATTAGAATTATTTCCACTGCTAGAGAGATAAACAAATCATTCAGACTCCAGGTCCTACCTGAACAGCTGCCTTAATAAACCATCTGAATATTTAAAAGTTATAGTAAACCATAAGAAGTTGTGGGAAATACTCCCTCAAATGACAAGGGGGAGTAATAAAGCAAATGTGCTTCTGCAGAACTCGCAGCTGACAGTCCCTGAGACAGGCAACATGAAGAAATCCAATTCTACTTAATCTTATCAGTTGGGCAGATTTATTAGAAGAAGGTGGTCCCATAGATATTCAGGTGCTGAACTACAAAGGTCTTTAAAGGTGACAGTGAACATTTTGAATTGCAATCAGAAGCCAACTGATAACCAGTGCAACTTTCAAAGCAACATTTGCTATGTGGGTCCATTAGGTACCCCCTAGTTAGACCACTGCATTCTATACCAAGTTTAGGTTCCAAATGTTGTTCATGATTAGCCCAACATTAAGCACATTACAACAGACCAAGCAAGAGATGATTAAGGCATGAGTGACTTGTGAATAAACCTCCCATCCAGGAATAATCATAACTGGCACACAAGATGGAACTGTGCAAAGACTCTCTTGACCACAATTGCCACCTACTTCTAAAGTAGGAGCTGTGAGTCCATGAGACTCTCAAATTATGAGTCGGTTCAGTACAAGGGAATGTGATCCCAACCAGAATTAAAGGTAGAATCTCTCTGGATTGGATGGCTTACAAACACAGAGACACTTTGTCTTACTTGGATTAAGCCTCAACTTGGAGAGAATTATGTTCTAAGCTTATTTATTCATAATTAAAATGCATACATGTCTGTAAATCTTTATTATTTCTTGTAAATTGATTTTAAAGGGCCCTAGAAATTCAAATCATAATCTCATATACATATGCACCACACTCTATACATATTAAAAACTGTTCATGATTCAAAAATGATTCAGAAATAATAGTTGGAACTGATATGAAGAGATAATGCATATATTATATAACATTTATGTATGCTATATATGTACACTATGAACTATTTTGCGCTTTCTCTCTATTGGGTTAGTCTGCTTCGAAAAAGACAAATGTTTTTATCAGCTTCTTGCAGACTAGCAAAAAACATAGACAGGTATGTTTTGTAAAAAAAAAAAAAAGAGAGAGAGAGAGAGAGAAAGATAGCAATTTCAGCTTCATGAAAAATTAATGAACTTTTTGAACGCGCATTTTAAAAGGATTTTTATTATTTATTTGTTTGTTTATTTATTGGACTTTCAGTTAATATGGCCAACTGACCAGTTCATAAAACTCTTTCTGGACTGAAGCTTTTTCAATTCACATACAGAGAACTGAGTCTGCTAAGTTTATAAAACTCTCCTGGCTTAAGGAGAGTCCCAGAATCATCCCACAAGATCCACCTTGTGGTCTGCAAGGAGACTCTGGAGTGGTGCTCCTGAACAGCCTCTGTCTGTACATCAATCCTGACGGATTAATTGGTTTAACATTACAGTTCAGGAAGATGAAACAACAGAAGAAACTCCTTAGTGGCCTGCTGAAGAAACACAAAAATTAAGTCTGGACAAATGTGTGTGTTCCTATATTGATGATTATAAAACAAAACAACTATTTTTCTGCTCTGTTTGCAATGGTGAATTGTTATCAGGCGACCCTGTTCAGAGTGACCATAACCTTATCACAGAGGAAGGATCTGAAAAAAACCCGAAAGGCTGCGGTGAAGATTATTGCAAGATCTGACAGATACAATCACTGAGATCTGTTCTGAATTGGACTCTGCTACAAATCCATCTGAGTTGCCTAATTCTTGCTCTATCTGTTGTTATATCTGTTAGTGCAACTATTTGTAAGTTAGATTCATGCCTTCCTGATTAGTCAAAGCCACCTGGGAGATGATATTTGGATGGATCTGCGCATTGGGGATTTTATCCTTGGGTGACAGAGTAATCCCACATGCTTTGAAGGAAGTGATGGTGTCCTCCTTTCTTAAGAAGCCATTACTGGATCTAAGGTATTGGATTTCATTAGTTTTCCTCTAATACCTGGGGGGAAGCTAGATTTTCTTGAAGTCTGGAATGGTGAGAGAGAGGCATTTTGCTCCTAAATTTAATATAGAGCTCCAAGGTCTGGAGCTCAAACAACATTATTCTTCAAAAAGATCACCTTGCTCTTCCAGCAGAATTTTACATACTCTCATGACTGTTTTAAGATTTGCATTTCCTACACAGTTATTTCCTATTTAGTTCTTTCAGCACTACATTTTTAAAATTTGTCCTATATGCCACTTTGAGTCACTTGACAATTAAATGGCCCCATATAACCAGTTAATTAACTGACTTTAATCCAAAAACAAGTTTGTGCTTCCATGGATGCTATCTAATCTAATGACAGCATCCTGGATTCTGTGATATAAAACTTCCCCAGAATTATTTTTGAGGGCTAATGTATAAAGCCACAATGCATTCCTTACATTTCCCATTGATATTGGACTGGAAATTAAACAGCTTATTCTCCACACAAAAGTGCTTCCTTCATCTATTGCTACCAATTATTTTCTAGCCCTTCCAAATAGCTTTCCTGATATCTATAGCAAGATAAAGATGAAAAATGAAAAAGAAGGGGTCTTGCTAATTCCAACCTCTTCATATCTATCTGAGTAGGTAAACAAGCATTCTAGCATCCAAAAATTCTCATCCAACTCTGATGTGTAACATTTAGGCTTTTATATACCACATGCATTCTGATGATCTAAGTATCAAAATACTGTTAATACATCATAATAAATTAAAACTGATTTGCACGTGTATTTTTTAAAACACTGGTTTTTATTTGAGAATGGGAATAATTTTGATTCAGCATCAGCAATCACATAAATGCTTTTTCAACTGAAGTATCATTTTTTCATGATTTTCCAAAGTTTCAAAACTTGAAAATGGGGATTCCTACAGGGGTGTCAAACTCGTGATGACACAGCATCATGTGACATATCGCAACTTTTCCCCTTTCTTAAACCGGGGATGGGCCTGGCCAGCACATGATGCATCTGGTCCACAGGCTGCAAGTTTGACACCCCTGGTTCAGAAGAAGCAGGACAAACCCCCCCCCAAATTATTTTTGTCCCAAGTAAAGAAGTCCAATTCTACATACAAACATGATTAGAATGTATAAGGATTCATATTGTTTTTCATTAATTAAGTTTCACTTTTGGAATTTGCAATCCTGACTTATTTGGAAGCATCAGATGAAAATGAGCAAACCGAAACAGGCTACAGGTATTCAATTTAAACAACACTGGCTTTTCATTAAAAATACAAATTAAACTAAATAATTCTTGTTTGTTGTTGATATACTTGTCTCAACTTAAATTTATTTCAGTAGCAATGTTTATATTCTAATCTCTTGGAAAATGTTTTAAAACAATGTCATATACTACAGAGAGAAGGGTCACTGAGAACTCACATTTGTCATAATGATTGTCAGCATTCTGTGCAAAAAGCGGTAATAAATCTGATCACTTGAGATGACATGAGGCAAGCAGGCATACTTTTGTAGTAACTTCTCATGTGTCCTCCATTTTAAAGAGGTTGCTGCCCTCTGTTCAGCTCTTGTTAGTGCTGGAATTAACTCTGGAAAATTTAAAAGCTGAAAGGAAAACATTTTTAGGTATAGTTATCCTAAGATATATCACGCATATTAAATCAGAATCACCAAAATACAGTAGCATATACCACACATGATTATCCCAACCACTCCAATATCCACATCACTGAATTCTATGTCAAAGTTTTTAAATTATCTTTGAAACTTACATAAAATGCATAAAGTCAAACTCTGATTTAACTAACATTTGAGTTACTGATCCTAAACTGTAAGCTGGGTTTTCCAGTTACTTTTACTACCTGTAATATGCAGGAGAATGCCAGAGCCGCAAAACCTCAGGAACTAATTCATCCAGATTTTGCTGTATAGCTTTTTCTAGTTCACCATACATTCATTTATAATTATCAAGGGAGTACCGATAAAAAAAAACTATTAGCACTTGGGATCATTCTTCTGATTCTTGTTCATTTCTGTCCCTTCCCACTTTCACTGTTCTAAATTACATTTTGTTTTCTCTAATTCTCCCAAGGATATTAAGAAGACCTGTCCTGGAGACATACATACTATCAAAGCTTTCCCCACAACATTGAAAATAGGGTACTCAAGGTTTACACACTCTCTCTCTCTCTCTCTGCATTAACCTAATCACAGCCTCACAAATGAAAACAGAATAGTAACAAATTTCAGGTGCTTTTAGGGTGAGAAAAATGATAGTGCTTAGATAAGACTAAGATTATAAAGTAAGTTAAGACATGACTCCATCTCTACCCTGTGCATGTCTTGCTTGCTTCCTCACCATTTTGGTTAATTTTAATTCAAATTTAATGTATCTAAACATTTGTATCTTATATTTCATATTGCTATTTTTCCTGATGGATTGTAAGCCATCTAAAGTCACCTTAGCAAGATAGGTAACACATAATTTTAATTAATAAATAGTGGATTTTCTTGTTGTTTAAAATATGATTCTACTGGCAGAGTCATCTACTTTACCTTGTTCTCTGATCCACTGTTTTCTCCTCCAGTAGACAGAAGTTCAAGAATTTCTGGAAGGTTATTTATTAATGCATCTATCACCTAATTAAAAGATAATATATTACTTACATTTGCAAAACCTATCTACCTAGCTAACTGATCTGAGTGCAGAACTGCAGAAAAAAGAAAGTATTCTGATCTAACAGCCTGCAGAAGGCAAAGTTAATGTTGTATGAAGAAACAGAGTGCAGACAGCAAAGTGTATGAATTTGATGGAGAGAGAGCAGATAAGTTAACAAAGCAATAAAAGGTAAACGATTGCTTGAGTCCAAATGATAGACCATGAAAACATCTCAGACAGACACTCTCCTAATTTACATGAATATAAAAAAGGGAGGAGGGGAAGTACAAACATGGTACTATAGCCAATTGAAACAAAAGTATTTCTTAGTCTTCCATGGAGCCTATTTCTTGGCCTGTTCTGCTTCCTCACAGGGCTGACAAAGGGTATTTGGAATCATCCATTGCTGTAGAAACACCCATTCTTATCTGTAAAATACCAGGAAGCATTGGAGATGTTTCACGTACTATTATATGAATTTATCATATAATTAGTTCATCTCTAAATTGCCTTGCAGCAATGGCATACAGTTCCTAGTATTGGACCAGCTGACTAATCACCACGAGTCAGAGTGCTTATCTATCATAGATTCCCACTTAAAACTGGGGGGAGAATCTTCCATCCAAGAAACATAATTGTATAAACACACAGAGTGACTTATCTATTCAGCGCTTCATCTAATCCCTTTCTGTTCATCAGAGAAGACAAGTTTAAGAGGAAATACCATAGTACTCAAATATAGTTGTTCCGCTTTCTAGCATTTAAAAAAAAATAGTAATTATTTCCCTTTTGTTTTCCTAGTCAGAATATTCCCAGTCCATTTCCTAGTCTGAATACTGTATGTCTTCCTTGCATAACTTTGTCTTCTATTGTCTCACCCCATACATTCTGATTTAACAATATAATTTCTGGAGCAAAACTGAACATATCATACTAAAGGGAATCTTACTTAGCACTAATCAGACTGGTTGAACCTAAGGCATAGCAAACTGGAGTGAGATCGAACTCTTATATATGCCTTTGAAGAGTGATTTCTTTTGCAAATTCAACTTTAGACATTTTCTATTTCTCCTGGGAAAGTGTTATAAGAGTTATCCCTTGTCACTTTCAGATGACTTTACAGCAAGGGTCTTCAAACTTGGCAAGTTTAAGACTTGTGGACTTCAATTCCCAGAATTCCTGAGCTAACAATTCCTGAGCTAACTCCCAGAGGAATTCTGGGAGTTGAAGTGCACAAGTCTTAAAGCTGTCAAGTTTGAAAACCCCTGCTTTATAGTGATATCATTCTGTCCTTTATGTCTAGGGTCATGAGACAAATGGCTATGATTCATCCTATGTTTGAGCCATCAAGAATTTCTTCCTTTAATAAATATAATTTGGAATAACTGTGATTTATCAAATATAAACAACAAATAGGTCATTACCTCTACTGATTCATCCTGCAATAAGGCTATCAGTTCTTTATGTATTATATACACATCAGTATTTAAAAGCTTGGCAACCTGGAAAATTACAAAACAATATACAGATATTAGTTCTTTTAATCTATGTTTTATTTTTAAAAACAAAGCTTGAATAGTACCTTGAATAGGAAACTAAGGTATAAACTAAATCTAAAATGCCAATACCCATACTTTAAGGCTGTTGAAGTCATGTTTTCAACATTAATGTCCATATCATCATGTTGCATTGATTTAGAATCAAAGAGAATAACAGATTTATATGGTTTTATTTGTTCAGTAGTTTGTTTCAATAGTAAAGCTGAGGTTCTGCAACACTTTGAGTCCAATATGACCTCCTATACAATTTAAAACTTAAGTGAACTGTGGGGATATATCTGGAATATGTTGCCATCAATAGGCTAATTCTTTCTCAGAGAGTGAAAGGTAGTGAAAGTTCTGGACAGGTTTCTGAAATCAGCAAACTGCAGTTCTGCAATTTTATTGACAGGGGAAGTGAGGTTAAATCTTCCCAAGGAACTATTTTCTTCACAAGTACTGTATAAGTAAACTAACAGACAACCAATATACATTGAGAGGATAGTGGGTCAAATGCTAAGGGTTCTCCTTAAAGGTATCTTTTCAATTAACACAATGAAAAAAAAATTATACTTGGGATATAAAGACCTTTCAGAAAGTTCAGTTAAAATGGTCGATACCAATAAAATATAGAGACTCCATTTTATCATTAAGTGAAATTAAGGGAACTTACTGTATGGCTATAGCCATGCTTATTCACAGCTATGTTTATAACTGTTCTGACTTGTAAAACTTTAATAAATTAATCAAGGGGCTAAAGTATTATTACAGAACAAGTGTTTGAAAGCATTGGAATAAAGTAATATTACAAACAATAAGAGATTAAAAAAGAAAAAAAAATGTAATTTGTATTCTTATAACCTCTACATTGGATTACTGCAATGCACTTTACCTGGGACTGTCCCTGAAGATTATTTGGAAACTGCAGTTGGTTCAGAAAGAAAGTTTTGCAGTATAATATTTATATTATGGGTGCTGCATTGGCTTTAAAAAGTGTTATTCAAGGTGCTGATATTGACTTTTATTATTTATATACCACTGAAGGCAATTTATATTAATTAAAAATATTAAAAACAGACAATTAAAACACCAACATAACCCAAAAAGAAGAATCCAAATAACAAACAATGATCATAATACATGTCTCACAATGTTAGGGCATCATTGACAACTTCAGCTTCCAAATGTTTCATGAAATAACTCTTGTATTAATGGTTTTTGAAAAGAAATCAGAGTTGCAATAAGGGATTGTTATAGAAAGTAGAGCCATCACCATTCCCGATCTCACCTTTTGTGTTTCCTTCAACATTTCAATAGGAATGAACAAACTGGTTACCAACAGAACAACAGATTTGGAAGAGACCTTGGAGGTCTTCTAGTCCAACACTCTGTGCAATCAGGAGACCCTATACCATTCAAGACAAGTGGCTGTCCAGTCTTTTCTTAAAAGCCTCCAGTGATGGATCATCTACAATGGCTGAAGGCAGCCGTTCCGCTGGTTAATTTTTGTCAGTTCTTTAGTTCTCCTTAGTTCTAGGTTGCTTCTCCCTTTCATTAGTTTCCAACCATTTTTTTTGGCTTGCCTTCTGGTGCTTTGGAAAATAGGTTGACCCCCTCTTCTTTGTGGCAGCCCCTCAGATATTGGAACACTGCTATCAGTGTTCCAATACTGCCATCTGCAAGTGGCTAGGAGCTATTTCTTTAAAAATCGAAATCAAACATCTTGTACAATGCATTTTGCAACCTACTGGAAACCAATGCAGCACCTACAATATACAGTCACATGGCTGCAATGGCTCTCATCCAACACTATGTGCTATTGCATTATATGTGGATTGATGTTTTTAGATAGCATTCAGGGCACTCCTGGAAGAGAGGCAATTATGCAAACTTCCCCTGGGAGAGAGTTCCATAACTGAGATACTACTTATATTACTGAAGCTACTGAAATATTTTAAATACATAAATAAAATAATAAGATGGCCTACTCATGATAATCACAACATGAAGCAATTCTATCAAAAGGCCTCTAGGTAGCATCTTGAAACTGATCTTAGATTGCATACTCAATACCAATAGCAATAGCACCTAGACTTATATACCGCTATATAGCCCTCTCTAAGCGGTTTACAAAGTCAGCATATTGTCCCCAACAATCTGGGTCCTCATTTTACCCACCTCAGAAGGATGGAAGGCTGAGTCAACCTTGAGTCTGGTGAGATTTGAACTGCCAAATTGCAGACAGCCGGCAGTCAGCAGAAGTAGCCTGCAATACTACACTCTAACCACTGCGCCACCATGGCTCATGGTTCTAAGGGGTGGCAATCTTTTAAGAAGTACTTTTAATAGGTTAAAATGTGATATTTTAGATAATTATAAACATGACAAAATAAGATTCAATATTTTAAATATTTATTAACGTTAAATCAAACAGTGTTTCCATAACATATATTTCCTGACTTACTTCATAGAAGCTACTAGCCATAGTATGTCTAACTGGTACTTCAGGATCATGACAGAAACAGAAGAATGTAGAATACAGTTCCAAATTGAAATTTTTGGGATCCACAAAAATCATCATGGCCTAGAAATATAAAGGATGTAATGTATAATAAAGTTTAGCACATATATGTCTGCCCCCTCCTCCACTTTCCTATTTGCTCTCCAAAAATAACTGGCAGAAATAGAAATTATAATCTATCCATTTAGCTGGAGTAAGCAACAATGGCCATCAAATCAGGCAAACCTTACTCCTTTTAATCTACCCTTTGTTAAACTGTAGTTCAGCCCCACTAACCTTACTGATCTCTGATTTAGGAGAAAATGTGTTTCAGAGGAAATAATCTCTCTTTAAAATCAGAAAGAGTTTCACAAGTCTATCTTTCACACAAATTACAGATAAACAAAAGAGCATTTCACTCACAGGTAAATTGTAAGCACAGTTCTTCCTCACTGATATGTATTTCTTTTCCTGTTCTAGGGTTTGCAGCTGAATCTGGTTGTCATTGTGCCCATTTTCCTGTTCTAATCCCAGTGTACAAAGCTTCTTATAGAACTCCAAAAATCGCAAATGCTGCTCTGGTGTAAAAATTCCTTTAAACAAATAAAATGCTTGTTCAATATTTTATTTTCATAAATTGATTAATCATTGCGCTTATAGTAGCAGACATAATGAATTCAGCACTTTAAATCTCTGCCATGCCAAGCAGTTCATTGACAATACTGGCAAATCTCATCTCCTCTTTCCCTAGTTGCCTCGCACAACTGTAAAGTTTACAAACTCTAAATATAGCTTCTGAAAACACTTCTACATTAATATGAAGAAACATAGATTTGATTAAACTAAATATTTTATTTTTATCACTTTGAAATATAGCATTTGCAGATCAAAGAACCATAAAATAATTGCCATGAACTTCTAATATACTGAGGCTTTCCTCTCTGCACTGATCAAACCCACATTTTGTAGTGCTAACAGCAATGTAATACTTCTCCAAAATATGAAGATAAGAGTGACTATATTCTATGTGATTTCACTTGCATATTTCCAAACATACATATATACTTTTACATCCTAAAAGTATATATGAAGTCCTGCTTTAGGGCTTTTCTATAATATACTAGAAATATGTAATTACCAATGTATTATTGATCTCTGAGGGGAAAAGCCCTGTCAGAATACATTCTAATTTGCTTTTAGATAAAAACTTAAAGCTAACTATTTCCCCATTTCATGGATTGTTACCTTGCAATGCTAAAGAGATTTGCACATGCCAATGATACAATTTGCTGTATATTGTTGGGAGTTATATGAAGTCCAAGCTTGTTTGTTTGCTTGCAGATATTTCATTATCAGATTAGGCATTTCTTCAGAAAATGTTATTTGGTTTGATAATGAAACATCTGCAAGCAACAACCAAATTCAGAGAACACCAAGGACTCTACAATTCTGCCCTGAGCTATGTATGTTCTCTTCTATGGGAGTTATACATTTCCAAAAGGTTAACACATGATGGGTAGGTCATACATGAACGAGCAATCACACTGGAGAAGGAAATAGCAACCCACTTCAGTGTTTACCAAGAAATCTGATTAAACATATCATCTGAACATTAGTTCTACAGGTTACAAAGTATATAGCAAGCTACTGGGGGGAAGAGCAGACAACAAACATTTGAGTTGTACTGGTCTTTATGATGTGGCTGGGTTAAAGATGAAAGCACAGTCAGCTGCTGATATCATTATCAAAAGGATAAATTGATGCTGCAAAAAATGTACAGTGAAATGTCGGAATCATGATCCAATCATGACATGATGAAGTCTAGCAGAATTATAAGAATGAATACTGAAATAAGCCATTTCACATGAGATGACATCAGAGCTTCTAGTATGAACACAAATATCATAGAAGAAAGGTTAACCTTATTAACAAAAGGGAGCCACAGTCAATGCTTGGATACCCATGACAGAATTGTCTCTATTTGAATTCAAGACAAGCCAATATCCAAGTCTATACTCCAACCATAGTTTTAGAAGAAGGAGAACTTGAAAAGTTCAAAAGTAACTTGCAACACTGTGTCAACGCAAAAATCACATCTTACTAATGAAGCAAAAGACAGGCTAGGGGAATACTATGAATATTCAGGGTTTCTTCCAATAATTTAAAAGACAACCTAACATATGGTCATTACCAGACAGACAACACCAACATGGAACGGTCTATGTATTTTGCAAGCAAGTATGGCCAAATTGTTCTGTCAGTCAGAACTAGACATGGCTCTGAATGAGGCTCAGATCTGTTGTAAGTCACTATTTTCAGTTCTATTGTAACTTTGAACAGCTAAACAAATGGTAGTTAAGTTGAGGACAACCTGTAGGTTGTCAGTAAGCTTCTGGACCCAATTCAAAGTATTTGTAAATAACTATGGTACAGCACCAGGCTTTCTTACATCCACTGAACAGTTCCACCTGTTGAGAACAATTTTCTTTTCCTTTCAGCTCATTCCCCCTCCATGTAAAATTTGCAGGATGTGAATTAAATACATTAGAAATCCATTTTTGGTTCGGGTTCTGGCAATATCATTTGTTTAAAGTATCTAGGAAATAACTGCTTGCTTGACACTATTTTATTTGGTATTTAATTATTTGAATGACTTTTAAGTGAATGTTGATAAATCATATATTTTCTAAATTATACTATATTATATATTAAATACTTAAGTATTTAAGCAGATATTGATTAAAAATTCATATCAATACTATCATATCATAGATTATCTGGGGGAAAAGTGGCAGATTTTGTCATTTAATTATATATTTCCTTATTATATTTAATTGAATATCAAGTGTTCTTTATTCCAGAAATAAGCACAATCAACTACAATGTTAAATGTTTCCAACTAAATATATACAAATGCAGCACCCTTAAAATTGTATTGAGAACTTTTTAGTCATACCATATAGTCCATTACAAAGCTTCCCTAAATGAAAAGATAATGAAACCAGAATAGATTCATCTGCTTTAAAGGACTTTTCACAGAATGATTTCACTAATGGGAGAACAGTTTGACTTCTATCATCTGAAAAACAGAAAAGATATGATTAGAAACGGATGAATAATCAACATATGATTATTAGCATATTAGAAATGGATCATAACAGGCAAAAAATAGCTGCAAAGCTAATGAATCTTACCTGCATCAAACATTTCTAACAGATTTACCAATGTTTCAAAAGCTGCAAGACGTACACTGCTGCCTTCATCCCTTGCTAATTCTACTAGTTCTGGAAGCACTACATTTTTTGTTAGCTCCGTTCTAAAAAAAAACAACAACCAGCAAACATTTAGGAGATAACTCATAATTGTCAGCTATACTTATACATAATTGTCATACATTGGAAATAAGCAATAGCAATAGATTTATATACTACTTTACAGTGCTTTACAACCCTCTCTAAGCTGTTATAGAGTCATATTGCCCTTAACAATCTGGGTCCTCATTTTACCCACCTTGAAAGGATGGAAGGCTGAGTCAACCTTGAGCCTGGTGAGATTTGAACTGTCAAATTGCAGGCAGCCAGTAGGCAGCAGAAGTAGCCTGCAGTATTGTACTCTAACCACTGTGCCACTGTGGCATGGAGACAGCTTTCAATATGTATATTTCCTTAATCTATTTCTACAGAAAAATGTATTTAAACATGAATAGAATTCACAAGTCAAATAATAATTGGTTTATTAAAATCAATGGGGCTAACTATTAAGTAGTGTCTATTACATTTAATTTCTCAGTAGTATACCAGTAAAATTTCATACACAAGAACAGCATAATCTAGAGCAAAATTTATGTGTTAGAATTTGAATTCTGAAATGCTTTCAGTAGAGGTTTGTTCTACTTTGTGATCAGTTGAGTCAAAGTATTGTTGGCATTCCAGTGGCAGCAGTAAACTGCTACACACAAGACCACATGAAAAAGATTATTCTCTACATCTACTGCTCCTTTGAAATAATTCCATCCATCTTTTATGAGAGAACCATGTGCATATGTGCCTGTGTGTGTATGTGTCTAATCCAATGCTCGCTGAAAACCATGACTTAGGGCATCACCTGGAAAGTCAAGAGAATAAACAGGATGATAGAAAAATGAAATACTAATTTTGAAAGCTCAAAACCTACTTCTTTTTCATTTACCTGTCTCAAGATGTCAGTTTCATAATTAATTTGGTGAGCTCCAATTTAGGAAAAAATTAAACTGAAGAAGAATCTTTAAACTTTTAACAGCCATGGCATGAAAACTGCTGCCAAGCACTCAGATCTCAATCAATGACTGCTCGCCAGGACTACAGGGATTGATCGTAACCAACATTCATTTAGCATTGGCATAACTTAAAATGGTCATTGAATGGTCATAGGTCAAAGGCTATCTGTACTCCATTATATTTATGCAACATGCCAAGTTTAAAATCATGTTTCCTAAATACATCCAAATTGTTTACAAATATTGAAAAACATAGAAACTAGAACAGAGGGCTACAGTATGTCACTCAGTGCACTCAAGCACTAAACATAATGCAGAACCACTGATATACTGATATTGAGTTATGACTGCTTATCTCTGGATTCACCTAATGGCAACATAGTCACACTTTATTAATTGACCAAGATCAGCTTAGTGATAATTTGAATTTGGATTTTTTTTTCCAGATATTTTAATCTTTATGTCACATTGGCTGTGAGAGGAAATAGCCCAGGATTCAAAGATGAATTTATTAACAATTGCAATTTAAGAAAAGCATACTTGGTAGCAATAGGAAAATGTTTGTCTAACATATCTAATATATCTTGGTTGTTCATAAAAGGAAATCACTTGTAGTTGGAGTAAATAATTTGAAAACTTATATTGTATGAATTCAACCTAACAAATAAAATCAATCCAATTTAGAAACTGTGTGATCTCTTCCAGATTAATACAAATATTATCTAGAATTATTTTCACTGTTTTATGCATTATGAATTATCAAGCTTTGCTCACCCTATTCCTTGAGCAATTAGTTCTAGCTGCCGGCACATGTAGGAACGAACTTCATATTCTACATCCTGGCAAAGAGATTTTACCAGGGGAAGGATTTCTCTTTTAATGCTAAAAAGGAAACAGTTACTTAAATTGTAATAGAAAAAACTGTTCTGTAATTTTATCACATATATTTGAAAACTGTAATGAAAAAGTAAAAAGACTGATAATTATAATTTATGTAATTGTTATATTAATGTATGTAATAACTGTATTTATGTTTTTTCAATGTCAAAACAACAACACGCTACAATACATATAAAAGATAATTTACACTTCTCAAATGTTAAGAACATAACAGGCCACTATACCATCATAACAATATTTAATAATACTAGAAGCACAAATGTTAGCAAATAAACAGAACTGCAAACTGTAACTCTATCAGTATTAAAGATATATAAGTAGATAAATAATTGGGAAACATATCAAAAATTCTAAATTTCTGAACAGACAACATATCACACTTGGTGAATAAAGAATTCTATTCTATTCTATTCAGACCAGACTTATCTGAAAAAAATCTTCTAGAAAATAAAGATATTATTAGAGTTGAACTTTAAAACTCACAATTTACTTTGGAAACAACAGAATGTTCTTAAGAAGACAAAATATATTTTGAAAACCTGTTTCTTTATGAGTCATTTTGTTTTCCATTTGCTCATTTGTTCCCTATCATTTGTTTATGGAAATCTTTTGATTGGCATCAGGATGAAGGCAAGCATTCTTTGGATTTGCTTTCATAGAATCATCACAGAACAAAATATGACTGGCTACTTAGCATCATCCTGAAGTCAAATCATATTTTGATCAATGCTTTCTTCTTTCCTTTGGGCATGCAGGAAAAAAAGGGACAAGTCAAGAAATCTAGCCATCTATATTATACGCGCTATCACTGTTAAAATATGGTGGGTGCCTTTATTTCCTGGTTATCCACCAGACAGTTCTCAAAAGGAGAGTGGGGTTGTCTCTACAGCAAGATAAAAAATAAAATAAAACCATATGTAGCTAAAAAGAAGACAAGGGATTCAAGAACCATTCACTGACATTATTTTTAATGTCTTCACACCCACATAAAATATCCAACATGCTTTATAAGCCTATCAACACAGCAATGCAAGGTCTGAACAAAAATTAAGCAAATCACAATGAACCTACCTTGAACATTCATAAATCTCAGCTCTTATATAAACTCTATTCTGAGTTACACTATCATATTCTTTGAAACTAAAAGACAGGCAGACAAATTCAATACCTTTATAAGAGCAAACAAGGTGGTACTTCTGAACAAAAATGAGGTTCACTGTTTCTGAAATTGCTTTTATGCTGGATGGCATGCAATTATTGTATATCCTTCAATATGGTATACCAGTCTTGACAAAAAAAATTTAAAAACACTTCCAAACAAATAACATAAAATCTAAAATGGCAACTAGTAGGGAAAATCATGGAAATAAGAATAAAATTTGCTGAAATGACACTGTGCAGGGCAAAGTTGACAATTGAAGTTGTAGGAAATATTTATCCTTTTATAGAGGATGCAATTCAGGACCTACAATTGCTATGTAGACTCCATTATTCTCATTTAGATAAAAAAAAAAGATTCTGCTCACCAGAGCTTTATGGATTGTGTCTTGCGATCACTGTGTAATAAAAATGTTGTCAATATCCAAAAGTAGCATTCTTTTCTATTGCAACAAAATGAGGTCACCTTGTTTCCTTTGTAGAAGGCCATTTATTCATTAGGGCATCTAAAACACACACAAGCTACTCACATATGAGCTTCAAACTTGTTAGCTAATTTCCCCAAGATTTTACAACTAACCAGGCGAGACTGAAGCGTTTGGGAAAGCTGTGCCTTGGAAACAAGAGGATTCAAGATCTGTAGGACAGAAGAAGAAATCCAGGCAACAAATGTAAAATTAGATAAATAAAACTCAGGCAACAAGAATATGCATTAAGAACTACTTCACATGCTAAACCTTTACTGATATCAACTTTCTAAGTCATCCTTGCAGCAAAAGTCAGAGAAATTATAGACATGTGATACAATTTATTTATTTTTCCCTATATCAGAAAAATATAACCTATGGCATAATGGCCAAGTTAGTAAAACCACAAAGATAAACTCAAAGTTTATACTCTTGGGTTTAGAACAATGTAAACGTCTTTTAAGTTTTGTACAATTTTAAACATAACTCTTGGTTTTCCCCATTCCATATAAATCTTGAATATTCACTAATCTTTGCTATTATATGTTGTCGAGTGAAGTTTCTAATTCTCCAGGTTTCATTTGGATTAATGTCTGTAGTAAAAAAAAAAGTCCATTCTGAATTATCAAAGGTTTTTTTCATGTCTAAAAATATTACAGCTGCCCTCTTTTTATTAATGTTGACAAATTTTAGTCTATAATAAATGTTACCTTTTATTTTCTTTTTTGGAATGTAATTATCTGATTTACATGTACAGTTTTGGGAATGCACTTCATACATTTGGCTAATGTGTATTTGTAAAGAAATTGGATTATTATGTATTAACCTTATAGACATCTTCTTCTCAAGCTTTTGCTATTATTTTTCTTGTTTGATTTTCATTCATCATTTTCAATTGTTCTTCTATCTTTTTGTTACACAAAGTCAACAGCATTTCTGTGCCTGGCGTCTTACTCGTTTTAATTTTCTTTACTGCTTATTTAATCTCTTATGTTCATATTAAGATTTGTCTACATTTTTAGTAAATTAATTAAGCTGAGTTTTCAATAAATGCTTTTGAATGCCTCTTGTAATTTTATACCTGAAATATAATTCCACACAAAATATTCTTTTGTTATTATCAATCTTATATATAATAATTTGTTTTTTTTTCTTCACAGCTATATCAGCCTTCTTTCTTTCTTTTTTCTGATTTCATATGACAGACGTTTCCTTGGTTTGTTTGCATTTTCAAAATGATTTTGTTTGTTTTTTTATGTTTTGAAATTCTATCACTTCCAGTAAATCTAATAGTTAATTTACTGAACTCTTTCAATGCTTGTTGATCGAGACTAGTTTTATGAATCTCTTCTAATGATCATTTCTATTATGTTCTTTTTCCCCCGATTTGCTGCAAGCCTTATTAAGGTTTTACTTGTCTCCCATATAGTTGTCTCTTTGTGACATATTTTTACAAACAATCATTCTTATTTCTATAATTCTTTAAGCAACACTATATGATTGGTGTTTCTTTAAATAGCACATATCATTCATCCTCCATCTGAAGATAATTTCTGAAACCAGGATATTACAATTAGAGTATGATCCGTATACATCACTGAACCAATATTACTTCTTCCCATTAATATTGTTTGGGAAAACAATATTACCTCATGTCTAATAGTTTCTTTCGGAAGAGCTTCTATTGCAGCAAGAAGTGTATCCAGCCAAGCATTACTGACACCTGTAAAGTACAAATAAACTACATATATAAACACCACAAACCAGTTCTGTAAAATTCTTTTAGGCAATAACTTCAATTAACAACATTGTGACAACAGTAACACTAAAATAAATATATAATATATACACTATAGAAGGTAATATGTTAAAATATAATTTAACAGATCAAATAGGAATTTGGCTGTAACAAAGTCCCACCAAATAAAAGCCTACACTCAACTTACTTTCGAGTAGACCACATTTACTGACTGCATTGTTCAGTGACCATATGAAGTTTTGACAGTACTGAAAAAATAACTTTAAGACCTATGTCTACATTAATGACCTTTGTAGTGTTTCTCAATCATGTAAATACCATTAAAGTCAGTACATATTTTTCTGTGCTTGATCTGTTTTTCTTTTTGTTTCCCCCTTGCAAATAGGAGAGATTGGAGAAGAAGGGATCACAAGTGAGTATGTAGGCACAAAGCGGGAATACTTCGGGTTGTTTGTACAGTACTCTCATGGTTTAAATCCCTAAGCATTCTTGGGATTGCCAGCACCACATCCTTTTGATGTGTCTTCCCCATTATGTGCCTGGTTAGTTTTTTGTAATTCCCTCTTTTTATAATTTTATTAAAACAGGTTTTTTTTAATAACAAGGGAGAAATAAAACAAAAGCTAATCAACTACATGATGTAGCACTAGCAAACCTATTCTGTAATTACTTATTTTATTTTATTCCTGCATGTACTGCTTTAAATAATACATTATCAGAAGAAAAAGCAGAGCAAACTAAGAAATCAGCAACACAGTATTCCTCTGACCTGCATCTCTATGTTCCAGATTCTGTAGAATGAGTTGTAAGAATGAGTGAGAGTAAGTATGGATGGATATTGACTCCTCTTGAAGAATTGTCAAAAGAGAAACAGCTGCTGTTAATTGCATTTCCACACCTGCAACAGGTAGAACTTCCTGTATAATCAGAAAAAATAATAACTAACAAAAGCAAATATAGCAAATATAAAAAGACATCTGTTTGTAAAATTTATCATACCTAATTTATAATTATTGTGTTTTATTGTAGTTTGCTTTCTCACACTTTGAGAACAATTGAACATGGCTGCCTTAACACACCCATTTCTTCTCAGGCACTCCACTGCTGCTGATCCAACACAGGCATTCTTAATCAGCTGGCTCTCCACTAGCAGTCCTCTCCCACCATTGGCCCACCAGCGTTCTTCCCTATACTTCATCAAGAGCGTTTCACAGAGGGATACTTTTCCACAACCATTTGGCTGTGTGGGACATATGAATGTGCATCTGGGCAGCCAATCCACCCACCAGCCTTGGGCATGGGTGGCCTCAGGCACGGGGAGGTGGGTGGCGTTGCTTTGGTGTACATGCAAGAAGAGGGGGGGAAAGCGGCCCGCACAGGGGGTAGTCAGGGGCAGGGCCGCTTTTTTGTGGATGAAACCCTCCCTGCTTTTATTCTTTCTCGCTCTTTCCCTCCAGCAGCATCTGGGTGGAGTTGGAGGAGGTTAAAAAAAAGAGATGGGAGAAAGGGGGAAACTCCCTTGTGTTCTTTCAGTTTTGGGATGACCTCAACCCCTCCTTTTGCCCAACCTGGGACCAGATTCAAATTTCTCACTTCTTGACCACGAGGCAAAAATACTTCCTCACCTATCACATCTCCCCAATGCTGACTTTTTTGGGGTGTGAAGGCCTTAGTGTCTTCACGTGTCTTTGAGTGTGTGTGTGTATTGTGTATGTGTAAATCACCTGAAGGGCTGCTGAGAGAGCTGGGTTGGAGGTGGGGGTGGAGTTAGCATTAGAGTTAGGGTCTAACCTTTCACTCAAAACTAGTCAGATTTTTTTGCCTGCTCATTTGTCTTCCTGTGATTGCAAGATTCTCTCTTTAAAAATCTGCAATTGGGAACCAGCAGCAATTATTTCAGCATTGCTGTTTCTCATTAATATTTGGAAGGAAATATTGGCCTTGTAGTATTTTGCAGCTAAGCAGTGAAGCTAGATCAGCTTGTTATTAACCTTGTCATTATGCCAGCGGGGAGGGGGGGAGTGCTGTCTCCTGAAAGGCTGGGAAGGGAAAGGCCTGTCCCCAACTATCCTGTCCCGTATGGGCCCTTCCCCCCCTTGCATGCACATCGAAGCACTGTCCCCACAACCCTGCACCTAAGGACGCCCACCCGTGTGGACTGGCTGCCTTGATGTACATTTAAATGTCCCAGACAGCACCTAGGATGAAGAGGCTGGGGAAGAATGCTGGTGGACCAATGGCGGGAGAGAAGTGTCAGTGGAGAGCCAGCCAAGTAAGAATGCCCATATTGGGTCAGCCGCAGTGGAGTGCCCAAGAAGTGGGCATGTTAAGGCAGCCATGTTCATTTGTCCCATTCTGACATTATTTTGCGGATTTGAAGAATATTTTAGCAATGAATAAATTTTTGGATAAACGGTTTCATTTCTTTTTCCTAGATTATACAATCCAACTATATATTCCAGCTAATTTTCCCCCCAACTTCAGCTCAATCTCAATGCCAGCCTTATAAGGCAGACCAGATTAGGAAACAGATATAGCATGGGCCAAAAGCTACTTTTATTAGAACAGCTATAGTAGCAGAATCTCAGGAGGGACTATTTTATCAACTGGAAACTTGATCAGAGGCTTATTTAGGGATTTGGGACACATAGAATATCTTTTTTCTATTATTTAAAAATATATTGTATTTATTGATATCTGATTTCCCAATTTTTTCTTTTTGTTCAAGAATTAAGTTATGTGCCACTGTCTGTGTCTACTCTTTAGCAACCACATTGATAGATAAACTGACTTAAATATAAGTAAATTAATTTTATAATATGATATGGAATATTACTAGTTTTGGTCAACATGAAAGAGGGATTAAATTTAATAGAAAACTGAATATTACTTTTACAGAGTATCTCAGGGGTGTCAAACTTGCATCGTCACAGCATCGTCATGTGACGTATCAGAAGTTTTTTCCCCTTTGCTAAACCAGGCAGGGGACTGGGCCAGCACGTGACGCATCTGGCCCCCAAGCCACGAGTTTGACACTCCTGGAGTATCTTATCCAAGAATATTTGAGGGCAAGGGTAGATTGAATTTAATTTGAATAAAGTACAGGGAGTCCTCAGCTTATGACAACTGAGCCTGAAGTTTCTGTGGTGAAGTGAGTTTTGCCCCATTTTACAACCTTAGTTAATTTAGTGATTAGTGAAAGTGAATCTGGCTTACCCATTGATTTTGTTTGTCAGAAGCTTACAAAATGTGATCACATGACCCAGGGACACATGACGCTGGGATACTGCAACCGTCATAAATATGAATCAGTTGCCAATTTTGATCACATGGCCATGGGAATGTTTCAATGGTCATAAGTCACGTTTTTCAGTGTCATTGTAAGTTTGAAGGATTATTAAACAAACTGTGGTAAATCGAAGACTATACAGGTAGTCCTCAACTTATGGTCACAATTGAGCCCAACTTTCTGATATTAAGCAAGATAGTCGTTAAGTGAATTTTGCCCTATTTTATAACTTTTCTTGCTACAGTTAAGTGAATCATTATAATTGTTAAATTATAACAAAGCTGTAAAATGAATCTGGCTTTCCTATTGACTGATGGTCACAAAAGGTGATGATGTGACGCTGGGACACTACAACAGTCACAAATATGAGCCTGTTGCCAAGTGTCCAGATTTTGACCATGTGACCATGAGGATGCTGCAATAAAGGTAACTGTGAAAAACAGTCATAAGTCACTTTTTGCAGGGCTGTTGTAATTTCTAACAATCACTGAATGAATGGTTGTAAGTCATTGACTACCTCTACATAATTTTTTCTTTAATAAAATATTTACAACTGTTAAAAACAATGGGAGTTTTGTTCTTGTATAACTGGAACGCATACAATACTTTAATAGGAAATCATGCTATACCTACTCGAACTTTTGGCAAGACTCTCCTCAGTGTCTCTGTAGGATTCTGTCGCATCAGGACTGGAAGATTTGCAACCACACTTGTCCCTTGGATGTCTTGACCAGAACTGATTTTTTTTAAAAAAGAACAAACATTTTCTAAACATTTTCTATGAGATTAAGTTTAATAAAAAGAAAAGAAAAGTTGCTAGGAAATGAAACCTTATATATGTATGTGTGTGTGTGTGTGTGTGTGTGTGTGTATGTGTGTGTGTGTGTATATATATATATATATATATATATATATATATATATATACACATATACATATACATATACATATACACATACATACATACATACATACATATCACGTAAATCTATTTTAAAAATAAAAACATGTGAAAAAGAAATAATTATTTACACATACTATTAATAAAACACAATAAAAGGAACTCAGTAAAGCATAACCCAACCATTATGATTTGCTTTAAATGAATTCAAAATATTTCAACTTTTACTATCAAACCTTCCTTGTGTATCATTTAACTGATTTACACAATATGATCCTGAGACAGACAACTGAGCTAAAATTTCAGCTTATAACAATGTAGATTTAGTCACCCAAGATCACAAGTTTTGGAATTTTTCTCATTTCCAAATTATTACTTGAATAAGAAATCTATTTTGACACCATTGTATTTTAAAACATAATAATCTAATGTGAATAAACTTGAGAAAAATTATTTTGTATTCATTAGTGCAGTTCTTTGAGTGGTTCCCTGAATTCACACACATGGGTAATGCGCTTACACAAAGACCAGGATGCCCTGCCTCCCATGTATATAATATGTTTAGCTGAACCTTTTAGATTTTAAAATTAACACAGCAGATCTGAAGGAAAAATAAGATCACCTGAGACCAAGCAAAGTAGAGGAGTGGGCTGTGTGAATTCACAGTTGACCACTCAAGGGATGCAGTTAGAAGTAAATATCCAACTCTTCTTCATCATGATCTCTTCATACACAAGTTTCAGCAGCAAATTATTTATCTGGAGAAGGGGAGTGAAAGAGATGACAGCCTTTCTAAAGGTTGTGTCTTTCTAGGAGTGGAGGTCCAGTTTTTAGTATGGGATTAATTGGGAAATTAATTTTGGTTCGGAGAATATTGGAATGACTACAGTACAAATTGGAATGGAGTAGGGTATTTGCTCAGTAAATACAAATATAATAATGGGCGCTATCTCTTTGAAGAAATCTGGAAATAACATATTCTTTAAATGCACCTGGACAGCTATTCTCCCCCCCCCTCCAATTGACTCTAAAAATGATACTGCACAGTTCTATATGAAAAATGAAAGGATGGTGGACATCCAATGGATGAAATAATGTTCTGAATTCTGGACCAAGTATCTTAGATGCAGAGTTTAGAAGGGAAGGTACTAGTGGAAAGGAATGCACTGAGATAGAAGACACAAGGATAATATTTTTGGTAAGATACAGATACAGAACAGTAACAAATATGCAAAAAGTATATAGTTACAGAGAATGAAAACTGAATTGAAAAATAAATATAGTATATAAAGGAAGAATTCATAGGGAAGGGGAAGACAGAGAAAAGTCATGGCTAGATGAATATGATGAGATCCGCAAAAACAACAGAGTTTAAAAGTTTAAAAACCCAAGGATGATGTATGAATTAGTCTTTAGATGTGATAGAAACACAGAGAGTTTGCAAGGACAAAAATATAAAGAGACACAGTGAATTAAAGTAAGCTAGATCTGCATAGGTTTCCTTTTAGTTTATTTATTTATTATTTATCATTTATTTCTTGCCTTTAATTTCTTTAGCTTATTACCACTGTGTATAATGGTTTTTTTCAAACAGCAACAGCATGATGAGTCTGTATATATGAGCAAAACCAAAGAAGGATCCGAATTACAAAGAAGTAGGATTATTTATGTGATTGGTATTTCTCTGGCACATTGTGGGATATACTGTTATGCTTGTTGTTTTTGTTTAACTGTTTTGATCTTAATATGTATTTAGGTATGTAAGCTGCTTCCAATTCATTTCAACTGGGACAGCATATAAACCAAGCAGGGAAGGAAGGGAAAGAAGACAGGAAGATGATACCAAGCTGATGTTGCACTGCAGACAGTGAAAATGCCAATTTGGTATATGGCTAAGCAGACCTCTATGTGGTAACAATGTGAAACTAATAGAACTCAAATGTTGCCTACTGAGTCAGTTGCATGACAAGCTGTAATTACTTGTTTGATAAAATGTTGCTTCTGCTTAAAAATGCTGGCAAACAAGATAGGAATGAAGATAACTTCTTCTACAAAAAATGAACATATATCAAAGAACATAACACGGATCCAAAACTAATTTACTGCCCTCCTTATCCTGAATGCTGATTGCAGAATATTGTTTCTGAAATCCAATTCTGATGTTTCACTACTTATTTCGTACTTAATGTACTTAAATATACTACCAAACAAATATAGACTAATAGTGGCTTCCAAAATTGTCAACAAAACTTATGAGATTTATTTATTTACTTTATTTATTTGTATGGTACTCAAACCCAAAAAGCTCTAAGTAGTTAACCTAACCTCATCATAAAATAAAACACTGATTACACAAAAAGCCAAAAACCTAGAAACCAAAACTGATCAAACTAAAAAAAAATAATCCAGAAAATTATAGCAATCGTATACCTGCGGTCTCCTTTCTAATCAAAGCATGCCCTCCTCCAGTTCTTAGCAGCTTTCCTAAAGCTTAGAAGAAACATAGATAACCAAAACTGTGCAAGAAGGGAATTTCAAAGTGTGCAGGTGACTATTGAGAAAGTTCCCATCAAATTATGAAAAGAAGGGATTTGGCTTTACTCAGATCCATCTGACTGATAAACAGAGTAGAAAGCAGTCCCACAGATACGGGTGGTCTTCAACTTAACTGTTGCTTTAAAATTGTTTGACGCTACAAAGGATCCAAAACGAGGAACTTATGACCCGGTTTTGACATTCTGATGCCCCCTGTGGTCATGAGAACACTTTTTGGATGCTTGACGATCAGTCCCTATGTACTGCACCACTTCTGATTTCTAGCACAAAATGCCCATTGTGGATAATGGATGTTAGGGATAACATTGGTTACCTAACTTAGTTTGGGTAGAATAATATATAAACTATGTTAGTGAGTTTAAGTGTATGTATCACTTTAAACTGTAAACCAAGTTTTTGGGTGCGGTTGTAAAATCACCATAAGAGGGAGCAAGAGAGCTCACTGTTTGCCTGGCTTTTACTGGAATGCTGACAATGGATTGATGGTGATAACTGCGTGTTTGCTGAGAGAAGAAAAGGGGTTTGATTTTTCTTCATATCTCTGACTGCAAAAGAGATATATCACTGGACTGATTGATTGTAAGTTTAACTAACTCTTTTTCGACACTGGACTTTGCAAACTGAATAACCCCCGGACTGACTGAACTTAGTGTATGATATATGGACTGTTTTGACTATGCTATAACTCTTGCTGGAATAAAAACTATTTAACTTGCACAGTGTATCTGTCTTACTGAGTGTAAGCTACTACAACGTTTTTATCTCACACATATCTGCCTGTCTGCTAGACTGCCGTTGCACGTTCTGCTAGGGTGTGTATCCCTAACAATGGGTTTACTTAATGATCATGGCATTCACTTAACAACTGTGGATTTGCTTAACAACAACCACAAAAAGTCAAGTGATAATTTGATTAATGACCAGCATGAATTACAACCGTAATTCTGGGCTCCATTACTGTCAACTCAAAGACCATCTCTAGGCACATCTGGAGTCATTATGACTTTAAGAATTATAACTATACATTGAATCACACCTAGAAACCAAATGGCGGCCAGTGTAACTATAACCAGTCAGGTAACTCACATATACTAGGATATACCTAACACTGCTCAGATACCTCCAACTATAAATTCCAAATGTTCTTCAAGGTACACCACTTGGTGATGAGTATGCCTCGCAATCCAGGAATGCCTACAATTGGTACACAAGATGTAATGTGTAAAAACTCTTCTAGCTGGAGCTGCCATTTCTTCGGTGAGCAGGAATTGTCAGTCAAGAAGGACCCCCAAATTACAAACTATCAGTAACTAATCAAATTTACAATAAATTACAGTAATAGTGATAAAGAAAATCAATAAAATAAATTATAAATATCGTAATTCAATGTAAAATAAACTAAAGACTATCATCTTCTTTGAACGACCCCCATAATCCCTTGCGGGGTGGAGTCTAGGCAACTGAATGGAGCTAGCAGAGTGTTTATTGGCTGGATGCTCTTCCTGTCGCCAATGCAGAGTTTTGTTCAGCAGATATATTCTCACTGTGCCCAGAGAAATATCTGCCTCTATATCTAGGATCGAACTCACAGCCTCCTGATTGTGAGGCAAGAGCTCCACCTCTAAGCCACCGTACCATTCTAAAATAAACTAAAGACTATGATAATAAGCTATTCAACCAAACATTCTTTAGAAGTTCCATTTTTAATAGCTTCCAGAACATTACAAGGAATTAAGCAATAATTAATTCTAGGGTGAGACACTTTCACAAATGTGGAGCAGCTCTAAGAAACAGTATATCTTGGTATGCATTCTTCATATATGCATATTCCTTTACTGTATAAAAAATTCTCAATATGAGGTCTCTCCAACCCTATGATTTTTTTTAAGGATGTCACTTCTTATTTAAACAATACACAAATGTATAAACAAATTTTGCATGACCTCTTGCGATTGTGCAACAATTCTAGACTAATTTCCCACTTGAGTCCTCCTCCTTGCCTGGTTGGATGTTTCTCAACATCCCCAGAAGTGTTTTGGAGTCCATGGAGGTATAAACAGCACACGTTAACAACTCTTTAAACAAAAATTGAAAGAAATTCCTGAAACAGGCACCTCTGCATTTTTATCCTGTATGACTTGATTATTCTTCCTAAGACTCAAATTCTTCAGAGCCCTTAAGGGACATCTGAGTGAGCTGAGTTGAAAAACTGGGGACTGTTACCAGGGAGGCATGTCCTCAGAATTCAACTCAGTCTGAAGAGCAACAAGGCTAGAGGC